CCTAATTGTCCTGAGAGTCAGCTGGACCCAAACTCTGTTGCTGCTCTCCTTCAGTCTGGACTAGTCACTGTGGGAAGCCGGTAGACTATCTCTGTGCATGTGCAGACTTCAGCCAGCCACCCAGTTGCCTGCTTGCCATCTGGCTACCTCCTCTGCCCTGATACTTCCTGCTTCTCCATCTGTGGGGAGGTTGGGCTACGCAGCTACAGATGTGTGTGTCAGACATTTTCTTTTTTAGCATGTCCAGACTTCAGCCAGCCACCCAGTTGCCTGCTTGCCATCTGGCTACTTCCTCTGCCCTGATACTTCCTGCTTCTCCATCTGTGGAGAGGCTGGGCCTTGCTACAGACATTTTATTTTTTAAAAAAATGGCTGTTTTTCAAACCCTAACAATTTCCCCGGTTTTTCTTTCTTTTTCTCTCTAGCGGGATGATGGTTGTGGACGACAAGACCCAGGAGCTGTATCAGCAGGGTTACTGGGCAAGCTACAATGTGCCGTAAGGATCCCCTTGGCTCTCGCCTCCCCTCCCCTTCCATTGGTTGTTGCCTCTTCAGCTTTCTTGGCAGGGAAAAGCAACTTTGCTTTCTGGGCTGGGGGGCAACAGGGGCTGAGCAGGAGCTGTGCAAACGGGTTTCAGAGGTTGGCAGCCTTTCACCCTCTGGCCCTGTTCTCTCTCTGCATAAGATCTACATTGAACCAAAGTTCTGTCCCGTGCGACGGCCTCTTCAGCAGGTGCCCCTGGGATGCCAGAGTGAATGACAAGGAGTACAGTGCTGGAAATGGAGAAGAAGATATAATTGATATGGTCCCTTTTCATCTGGGGCTGGAAGTCTGGGCCAGATTTACAGTACCATCTTTAGTCTCCTAGCCCCTTTAAAAGGGTATATCTCTGCTCAGGGTTGCAGGGTTAACCCAAATCTGATGGGAATAACCTTCCCATCTTGTTTGTCCTCATTGTCTGGTAATTCAGAAATTAACTGCTCCTGGATTTGGAACTTCCCTCTGTTGTTGCTGCTGCTGTCACAGCTATCAGGCATAGACAGAGGATGAAGATCCATCTTCAGAGATGGTGGCTATGGCAATATTTTTTGATGATAATTTCTGTAAAAGCCTATTTTCTCTCCTTTTTGCTATGCCACCTTCCCTTTCTCTGCCTCACCCATCAGCTCAAGTGTGCACCCTCAAGCCTTCTAGTCCTCCACTTTCACACCAGAACATCATAGAAATCTCGCTCTGATGGAAGTTTTACTCATAAATGTGTGAGAGCCGTTCCATAGGTTGAGGCTTTCCTACATGCATATTTATGCTCCAAGGATGTGGCTTAGAGCCCTAGTCTGGGGGCTGCATTTTGCTCCACAGCAGTTGTCCCCATAGGCAAAGGAGAGGGGGCTGCATTGACAGTAGTGGTTGTCTGGAAGTCCTTCCCTCTGCCACTTGCATAGCTCTGCAGAGTCCCCCCTCCCCAACATCCCCATTTCGCGTTGAGGAAGGCAGGAAAACAAGGCTCTGTGATGGTTTCAGCAAGGCTTGGTGATGGTTTCTGTACCAGGTAATAATTGGCCTTCACCTGCTGTCTATGCCTCTATGGCCCCGGTCACACAGCAAAGTTGCTGCGGGAGAGGCACAGGAGTCACGCGGATTTTCCGGGCGCGATCTCACCCCAACATCTGGGAAGCACAGTGCTCCCGTGGCGAACCCGTGGCTCCCTGCCAAAGGTGTGGAGTTAAAAATTAGTACCTACGAGGTACTAGTTTCCTGAAACCGCGGGCCAAGGGCGGGTGTCTGATCGTGTTCCCGGTGGACTTAGGTGGCATCCGGCGCCCGCCGCTGTTCGTCTCCACAGGTTGCGCAACAGCGCCCAACAGCGCATGTGCACAAAGAGTGATTGCTAGTGCAATCGCACGGCGCTCCTTCTGTGCCGCGCTGCAGGATACCCGTCTGATCGGCATTTCCCCCGAACCACGGGACCTCGACCGGGATGTGTGCTCGAGCAGCCGTGCGTTAGTTTCCTCCAGGGCAATTAGCCACGCCTCCCCCCCGCGATATCCGGCCCGTGTGACTGGGGCCTCTGATTGCTTTCCACAGAGTATTTTAGCACCAAGTCCTACTGAAAATGTTTGTGTATCTGTATGCATGTGCCAGAGCCCACCTGTGAATGCATACCTATTTAGGCATGTAGTTCTGTGAACAGCTGCTGTGTGCCATGCTCGTGTTCCAGTTTCACCAGCTCTGATACCTGGTAATGTAAGAGTCCAGTAGCACCTTAAGGACTAACAAAATTTGTGGTAGGGTATGAGCTCATACCCTACCACAAATTTATCTCGTCTTTAAGGTGCTACTGGACTCTTACTTTTTTCTGCTGTTACAGACAGACTAGCACAACTACCCATCTTGATCTACCTGGTAAAGTGGGATGGAAGTCTTCCAACCATATCTGAGTGACTTATTTCTCCACTCCTAGGTACTTTAAAGAGATCTTCAATGCCAGCGGCCTTCCTGGGCTGGTGAAGAAGTATGGCGACTGGTTCACCTATGACAAAAACCCCAGAGCCCAGATATTCCGGCGCAACCAGACTCTCGTTAGGGACATGGGCTCTATGATTCGACTCATGCGGTGAGATATTTGCTGATGCTGGCTGCTGTGGGTTGGGATTTGCATCATGGTGCTTCAGAGTACTTCCTGGGTTTCCTCCATCTTTCTTGAAATCTTTCCCAAGCCTGCTTTGCTGCATTGTTTTGTAAAAGATCTCAGCAAGGCTAGGGTTGCAGCCATGTGGACCAGAAAATCTGGATTTTCCTGGCCCCACTCACATTGGTGCCCTTTCCCGTGCCCCAGTTCCCTGCAGTGGCCATTTTCCCACCACCAACCACCAAGGGCCTCTTTTAAAAAATTGGCAATTGGCAATTAACTTATTGGTATAGCATTATGATGTTATAACAATCTGTCTGTTAGGTTCTACAAACTCTACAAAGTAAGTCTTTAGGCCTTTTTGTTGCAGTGATATTGTATCATATTTCTGCAATGAAATGGGCGAGACACTTAACTTTTTTAAAAATGAAAAGTGGTAATTCAGAGAACCACACAGATGGCTACAACATTATAATGCTATAACAATATGGTCATTACCAGCCTTGTGGAAGCCACGTTTCCACTGTAATGTATCAGTAGCCTCAGCAGTAACAGGGAAACCACACAAGTCCGTTGCTGTGTAGAAGACGCCTATGTGTCCATCATAACAATGAGGAGGGCTGATTCCACAGACGAATTCTGCACAGTGTCAGAAGTGTCTGCTTGCCTCATCTGCTTCTTCATTTATTCTGATGGTGCAGGGAAAGA